CCCTCTTCTGGGCCAGGGTCTACAGTGGGTCTCACAGTTCTCTCTCCCCATCACTCCTGCCGCCCTGTTCTTTATTTCACTTCTCCAAACACCTTGCTTCCCAGAGTCCTGAGTGCCTCTAACCTGCCTGCAAGGGCCGCGTGAGAGGGGCCGCCCACCACCTTGGTTTAGTGATCTCAGCAGCCCCCTTCTCCGCCAGGACCCGCGTGGAGGTAGCTCTCACTGCCACTCTGGCTGGCACCCTCCCTGCCTCCAGAGGCTGAGCGGCTAGAGGTGGGACAGGACCAGAGACCCAGAGAGGACGGGCTTGCTCAGTACACCTACCTATTTCTGATCCAAAGAGCGGCCCTGGGAAGAAACCAACCCTTTCACCTCCAGTTAGGAATGGGGAAAATCAGCTTCGGAGAAGCTGTAAGTTCCCAGGTCCTTCTGTTTCATCTCTATGGTGTTGGGTGGGGAGAGTCAGCACGGGTTTGTGTGCAGAGAAAAAGGTCGGGCTTGGGAGCGGGAGGGCCGCTTCCTGGGCAGGGAGCAAGGCCTCCTTCTGACCTCCGCGCCTACCCTCAGCTCGCCGGCCCCTCACGTGTCTCCTAGCTGAGTCGGGGCTTTGCCCTTGAGCTGGCCTGGGTTGGGCAGAATTCCCGCCCCTCTATTGCCTGAAGGCTGGGGAGACTTCCAATTGAGCCATCTTCCCACCGAGGTTAAGGGCAGATTCTTCCCCCAAAGGTGGGCAGAGGTTAGTTGGGTCCCAGTCCCTACCAAGTCATCCGCGAGCTTGCTGCGCACCCCACTCTCCATGACAGCCAGAGGCACTTGGGCGACCAGCGCTCAAGTGTGGAATTAAAGGAGACTTTAAGACAGCAATGGAGGCAAACATCTACCCAAACACGCCCGACCCTGCAGTCACAGCTTTCCCTCCTAAGAGTCTTTATTTGAAAGAATAAGCAAGAAACCCCAATTGAAAGGGCCCCTGAAGGTTCCAGAACTCAGGGCTTCTGGGCGCTGGGCGCTTTCCTTCCCTGCATTGACCACGCGGACGTTTTATGGATGGAAAACTTCTGTGACAGAGGCTGAAGTGACAGTCATTTCTAAAACCAATCAGGAAGAATCCACCCAAGGTCATGGTAGTGTCCAGCTCACCAAAAACATAAGGTTTCTGGACTCCCGACCTCGTCTTCATCCACCCTCCTCCCCCGCACCCACAGGTCTCTGCAGATCAATCCTCAAACCACTGCCTCAGGGCGGGCTAATCTCAGTGTGCCTGGGTGCCCAGAGCTCTCGCCTTTTCTCATACATTCTCCTGCGGGTGTCCTCTCCCGCCCTGGAACCTACTGGGTCTGGGACGAGCGACACTCGAGGCTGCTGGGAGGGTAGAAACGTTTAGGAGATGAGAGCATCCACTCTCTGGTTGGAAAAATAGGGGGGAAAATTCACTCCATTGTTCAGAGAGGGCTGTGGGGTGAGGGAATGCATGTATGTGTGTGAAACATGTATGAAGGGCGTGCTTGGGCTCGGTGTGGTTTCTGGGCACACACGTTCATGGCTTGTCTGCATCGGGCTTCTCCAGGTTGGCGTCTCCACCAGGCTTCAGTGCAGCGGGACAATGCGGGATTGCCAGTCCATTTAGGGCTCAGGACAGGTGCAGATGGTTGGTGCTCCTGCGCCCACCCTTTGGCACTGTGAGGAGCGGTCTGCTCCGGGGTTTGGCGCACCTGCAGGCTGGTCGGGGCCTTGGCATGAGTCTACTTTGGTGGAAGTCCTTATGGTAGAGCAGCTCCACTAGAGCATAAATATAAATTCTGGAGTCTGAGAATGAGGAGGTTGTAGAAACCGAGGACTCTATGGAACATCTCAGCTTTCCGGAGGAAGGAGTTTTGAAAAACACCTAAGCTCCAAAAGCATGTTTATGGCTCTGGGGTTTGAATCTTGTAAAGCAAGGACGGGGCTCGCTCACCGCGGTGGAGAGTCTGCCCAGCTTCGATGTGAGACGCAGCTTTAAGGGGCATGGCATCCTGCAGCCATGGCCATGCCGAGGTTTACAGGGAGAAACTGGAATACGTTAGTCAACACATTGGGCAGAGAGGAGCTGGTTCGTGTTGACTTAGCTATAGGTCATCGGCTGGCAGTGCATGGGAGGAAATATTTACTTTACACATATACTTTATGATCTTGGGGGAATTAGAGGAAATTCAATAAGAAAAATGGCTAGAAACATTTAAAACCCTTATTTAAAAGACTTAAGCAAATTAGAGTCTTATCAGATTAAAAACCACTACAAATGTAAGAGCATTGTCTTCAGTGAAACGGTGTGGGGTCTGAGAAGGAGATTCTCGCCAAATCTCAGGGATAAAATGCGTCATTTAAGCACTGGATAATGAGCAGAATGTAAATTAATTTAACCTTCTTTACCAACAGGCTGCTGGTGTAATGTGTATAATTTAGTGATAAGACTGCAGGACATGATGTGGTTGGCGTCTGAGCCTCGGCTAAGGCAGATCTGCCACCTGGGAAGCGCTCTGCTCTGAAGGGGTGGGTGTGTGCAGTGAGTGAGGCGAGCTGGAATAAAAGGTTAAAATGAGCAGTACTGACTTAAAGCTAACCATGAAGAAAATCCCTCCCCCAACTACATTTTTCTTACCATGGGGTCAGACATGGGGAGAGACTGAAAAACAGCCCTCATCTTGGTCCTTGGACTGCCCTTAGGTGTTTAACATGGGGAGGAGTTGCAGATAGGGTGAGGGGCAAGGGGGAGTCACAGAGGTTGCAAATATATTTGTCATCTGTTTCATCCGCTCTGTCCCAGACTGAAGAAGTTTCCCAATCTTGTGAACAAGGACAGAGAGGGAGTTTTCAGAAGATACCTCATACTGGGGCTGCAAGTCATTGGCTGTAATGTCAAACAAGTACACACTGGGGGTGATAACACTAACTCCACAATAAAACAATCGTCAATACAGAAACCCGGGAGATTAGCCGGTGCTCTTTGGCTGACCGAAACTAGGGACAAAAGGACATTCCAAACTTGTTTCGAATATGTTCGAATTTCTTGCTTTAATGTCTTTGGAAATCAAATGTCTTTGGCAATCGTGCTGTGAAGAGTCGAGGTTCCCAAAGGTGATAGTTGTTGTTTTTTTATGCCAATGAATTAGGCTTTGCTTTTCCATGTGGCGCAGTTTTCCCTTCGCCCACACCCTGCATCTCTGCCCACTGGAACTGCACCGAGCCAAGACAGCCTGGAGCTGCCTAGGAAAAGAAAATGACTGTTAAAAATGACCCTTGAAATTGGTTATTTGGCAACATTCTTAATTGTATGGAAATTCATTAAAGCATATTTTATATATAATTAGCTCAGGGTCGTTGATGCTACAGGCTTTATGGATTTGAATCTGATTGATAATAAAGTAAACAGGAGAGTCAGATTTAAAGCTCTGCGCTCTCGGGTTAGGACAAGCTTAATACAGTGTACCAGGAATGTGAAAGATCTGGGGTATGTGTCTTAATCAACGTTAAGTAGAATGGATAAGCTTTCAGCATTTTGAAAACGCTGGGTTAGGGTTTCTGTTCTATTGTGTGTTTTCTGTCTGGGGACTAATAGGCGTTACAGAGAACGTGATCTGAGGCGACTTTTTATTCTTGGATATACCCAGAGTGAACCACGGAACAGTTGTTCGTTTAAAGTCAAGGTAATTTTCTTTGGACGGGTCCATTTGCTCCTCGATTTCTAATTTATTAGCCTGCCTTTTCAGGGTTCTGTCTTCTTCGCAATGAAAGCTTTTTTTAGGTGAGCGCAGCATCCACTGGACAGGCTGTTTGGGAAATTTAAGATCGCAGCGGTGACTTGCTGGTGTTGTAAAATGTTCTAGTTTGTAAGTAGCACGCGTCCCCTTCCCGTGCGGGTGGCGGCGGAGGTGGAGGTACCCTGACTGGGACGTGTACTACGGAGTGCGACGCGAGAGCGTCGCCATCTCGCCCTCCTACCGCTCGGCCCGACCCCTCCGTCCCCTTCTCCCAAGCTTTCGACTCCCAGGCTCATTTCTCTGCCTCGTACTCCGAGCTAGAAGCCAGATCGCCTTCGGCCGGGCAGGGGCACAATTCCCAGGAGCGTGCCTGTGTAGACCCGTTGGGCTCCGCGAGCAATTAGCCCGGCCCCGCGCTGCTGATAGGTGCAGACGGGACAGTCCCCCGCCGCGGCTCGGGCCCTCCTGATTGGTGCGAGACCACGTCACTCCTGCCCAGCGGAGGGTCTGGGAGGAGGCGGAGGCGGAGAGGGCTGGGAGGCCCCGGCCCAGTGACGTCTGGGCCCCAGGAAGCCCGCCTCTGGTTTTAAGATGTTAGGCCCACAGGGAAGCGCGGAGCCTGATAGGTGCAGACGGGACAGTCCCCCGCCGCGGCTCGGGCCCTCCTGATTGGTGCGAGACCACGTCACTCCTGCCCAGCGGAGGGTCTGGGAGGAGGCGGAGGCGGAGAGGGCTGGGAGGCCCCGGCCCAGTGACGTCTGGGCCCCAGGAAGCCCGCCTCTGGTTTTAAGATGTTAGGCCCACAGGGAAGCGCGGAGCTGCAGATCGGGTCGGTGGCTCGCCTGGGCGCCTGGAGCTGAGCAGCGGCGACGCCGGGCGCCGCCAGGGCTGCCCGCGGGGGGCGGGCAGAGCGCGCTCGGCGTTAGCTCTCCTCATTGGAGGGGTACTTCGGGGAGGGAGGGAGGGAAAAGAGGGGTCTTCGCCCTTTCCCGCTTCGCTTTGGAGCTTGGACGCCTGCTCTCTAAAGACGCTCGAGCCGGCCCTCCAGCCACGTCCCCTGTGTCCGTCGGCACGCTGACTTTTGGCCACCGGACTCTTGCTCGAGCCTTCCGGAGGAGAGGGGGCGGCTCGGCCCCAGCACTCGGCGCGGTTTCATCCCGGCGCCGCCTGCGGCGGCCGCAGCAGGGCATCCCCGCGCCTACAGCGCGCCCCGCAGCGTGTGGCTGCGGCCACGGGGACTCGCAGGGCGGCGCGCTCCCTCGTCCATGACCTGCATGAAGGGCCCGCTGCGCTTGGAGCACCGAGCCGCGGGGACCAAGCTGTCGGCCGCTGCCTCGTCCGCCGCCTGTCACCACCCCCAGCCGCTAGCCATGGCCTCGGTCCTGGCTCCAGGGCAGCCCCGCTCCCTGGACCCCAAGCACAGGCTGGAGGTGCACACCATCTCGGACACCTCCAGCCCCGAGGCCGCAGGTAAGGCCCGCGCCGCCCGCGGACACTGCAGCCCGGCCGCCCGCCCAGGGTGCCCCTGTCCCCTCGCCCCCTCCACGGGAGGCATGGTGGCAGTGGTCGCTCTGCCTGGCCTCCGCAGAACTTCCTGGAGCCAGGGTTCCGATGGCCCGCGCGTCCCTTTCGTTCCCTCTGGGCCGGCCCAGCTCGGGTGGTTCCCCTGTCCCCATGCCTCAGCCTCCCTTGTTTCTGGGTCCCGGAGATCTCTGTCTCCAGTTCCTGTGCTGCTATCTCCTTTCAGCTGCAGAGGCCCCGCTCCTTGGAAAAGTATTTCCGAAACTACCAAGAAAGGCTCTTCCCGAAGGGCGTTATTTTCTAAAGGGCCAGCGAACCTGGGCACTTAACCGAATCCATCTGCTTTTTCTAGCCTTCCAACAAGGCGTGGAAATCTGAGCTTTCTAGAAGGGGATTTGTAAAATGCGCGCGTGTGCGTGTCCCGAGAGACATGGTACCCGCTTAGGGACGGCCCTGTGCCCTACTTGAAAGCCCAGGCTGCAGGGATGAGGGTGCCGCCGCCGCGAGATAAAGGTGTAAATAAGACGCGCGGCGGGGGAGGGGAGGAGCCGGGGCGCGCACCCACACTCGGATCCGCGCACCCAGGGCGCCGCGCTGCCCGGACGCCGCACCGGATCCTCGCGCGCCGCGCGGCCGGCCCTTCCCACGCCTGTGCCGCGGCGCAGACAGTGGGCGGGCCGGGGCCGGGGGGGGCGG